GTATCCTTGTTTGTTACCATTACCTCAACCACAGGGTTATGTTTCTATGTGAATTAGTTAACAATATGTTTCAGTAAATCTAAGATGTGGGACAAGAAACAAATAATTTGAGTTGGGATCCAAGGTTTATTGGTCTCCTCGGCTCAGACTGGTCTTCCCCTCCTGGGAGCCTCTTCAGTCCTGCACCGCACAGCCTCAGTCCTTGTTCTACAGCCTGAGTCCTGCATCTATAGCCTCTCGGTCCGTTTCGTATTTAGTTGTTCCTCCCTATGGACAAATGGTTTCTATGTGTTTGTTATTATTGCATTTTCTGTTTTCTAACTGTTTGATTCTCTGATCTGTGGACGGTGAATTGACAAAATTGTAAGGTCCTCAGAGACGACGGCTGTTGTGATTTGGGGCTATCCTAAATTTAATTGAATTGAATGAACCACAACAATCACTTGTCTCCAATGTATATGCTACAGTCAGAGATTTTATAATTCACTCTTGCTTCTGTATTATGCTAAAGATAGAGATTTTTTTTTCATTTTAGTATTATTTACTTGAGTTATTGTTCATTTACCTTGTGCTTGTACCTTGTCCTCATTCCTACTGTTCTGTAACTGGTGATGCAAAACTGAAATTTCCCCTCTGTGGGACGAATAAAGGATCTCTTTTAATATGGAATGTTTACTGTAATGCCACCCACCGTAGAATATTCCATGCAAAACAAAAGTCTATGGATTGGACTAAGTTGCGTATGTGTCTTAACATTTTTGATAACCTATAATACATATAGGTATGTGGTTTGTTTTTTCTCTTTTTGTCTGGGACATCATCAAAGATATAGACCAAATTCAATCTCTTGAAATACAACACCTTTTCATTACTAACTTTAAAAACAAAAACTCACAAAACTGAGCAACCTGTGTTGTTTAGTCACCCATGACACGAGGCGAGAGGGGAGCTGGTTAAATTAGGCCAAACGCTAAATATTTCAGGTCCATTCATGTATTATTAATGAACGGCTTTACCTTCCAAAGCAGAGAATAGATCGAGTGTCTTTCCAGTCGGCTCCAGAGTTTGCTACAAAGTCAACTAAAGGAATGTGGGCAGGAAATGTTTGGCATATTCAACTTAAGATGTAAAATTAACCTTAAAATTCAACTTTATTTTAAATAAATAATGCGTGTTATTTCTCAGGTCTCTGCACTGGCTTCTAGTTTCAAAAGCAGCTCGGTTTGTGTCTCTCCATGGCCTCGCACCAAAGTACATAAGTGACATGTTAGTCCCATATGAACCAACTCGGACTCTGAGGAGCACAGGGACAGGCCTCCTGCTGGGACTCTGAGGAGCACAGGGACTGGCCTCCTGCTGGGACTCTGAGGAGCACAGGGACTGGCCTCCTGCTGGTGCCCAGAGTCAGGACTAAACCTGGGGAGGCAGTGTTTCAACAGGCTTCTACTTTGACTATGTTCAAATCCAGTTCAAAAACAAAATCCTCACTCTTTTCAATGTACTGATTATTTATAACTTTAATGCCTCATGTGATTGCAGTGTGATTCTGAATGAACTGTGGTATACAAATAAACTTTCCTTGCCATGTTCTTTGTCCAAGAGTCTAATCTCATAGTGTTTGTCATTTTAGAGAGATTCAGATTCAGATTCAGGTTATTTGCCATTTGCAGTAAAAAAACCACATTGGAATACATTAGCGAAAAGTCTCCAGTGTGCACAGACAAATACAGACATAAAACAACATTAAAAGACAAAAATAAAACAAATAAAACAGTAAACAAAAGTCACTGTGAAATCGATCGACTAAAACAGTCCTGTGAAAGTGAGTGGTCCTCTCTTTCTCTTTTTCTGTCTGAACCAGCTGATCCAAGCATGTGATAGACGCATTAGCAAACTAGTGATAAAACCAAACTGTGGGAAGTTGTGGCTGTAGTAATAGTTTATCACCACCAAGTGAAAGGATGATAGGAGTGATAGGATGATAGGATGATGAAGTGTCCATAATAGCTTATTATTATTATAAAACATTTCTTTAATTTTGTGGTTTATATTTGCATGCACATTAGGTTATATAATACATACTGTTAAAAGTACTGTAGATGTATTTTGAGAATAACAATATAAATAGCCTTTGTTGATTTGTTGCACAAACTAATGATTATTATTATCAATATTTAAACACAAATGACATGACATCCAAAAAGAAAGGACAGGATCAGACAGCTCACCATTCACCTCTTTAGTGTATTATTATTATTATTATTCAATCTTTGTATTAATTAAATTTTTGTTGTTGTTATTATTATTATATGTAATATTTTCCTTTGCATTATAATTGTTGTATACATGTTTTTTATGTATGCCATTTTGATCAATTGAAAGGCAAAAACTAAAAAAAATTAAGTATGTTTTTTTTTTTTTTAATGCCAAAGAATCCACTATATGAAAATAATCACACTGAACTTAGTGATTAATCAGAGACACAGAAACACACTGCAATAGTCTCAGTCGTCACGGACAGAGTTCAAATCAAAGGTGAAAAACCAGCCTGAACATCTGCTGTGTCTATAGCACGGATCTATTTCCAACAGTGAAGCATTAGAAAGCACATTATGACTAAAGAAGATTATGACCGGATGACTAGCCACACACTATCTGCAGCTGATCATCGCACACTAAGAAACAAATGCATTTTTATTCTTGCATTATGTACATTTCACCACTATCATTATTGCCCTATTGATATTGATCTAAACTCATACAGTTCAATATTAAGTAATGCATTCAAATCTATTCTTTCCCATTTGGATCTCGATACATTATATATACATTTGGACGGAGACTCTGTAATAAAGTTGAATTGAATTAAATTTGTCAAATAACATAATATTTATGAAAATCTAACTTCACTTGAAAATGTAAAATTGATGAGAAAGAACTTGGGTTGAAACATAAACCAATGGAGATTCTATACAACCAAAAGTCATTGTAACCATAACAACTTAATCTTTAGCAATTGTAATTTTAATCTTGTTCTAATGGTTCCTTTCACCTATTCCACTTTCTTGTTCTATGCATTTTCTACTGATTCCTATAACCAAGTCAAACATGTTGGGTTTATCTCATGAATTTGCTTTTGGCTTTGTTAAAAAGAGAGAATGAGATGATGGTGATTGTTACTTCTGCAGTTTTGAATAGGAAGCCAATAAATATTTGTATCATTAAACCATGACTCATCGATACTGAGATACTTAACAGAGTTAAATAGAAAGTGAAATCTTTTTGTGGTTCTTTTGAAAGTTAGTTATTAAGAAGACAAATTAAACTTTTTGAATCATAAACTACAAAAATAATTATGTAGAATACATGTATGTGGATGTGAAACAAGACAAATGGAGTAAGAGAAGAGTGGAATGGATCAACACGAGCCCAGTGGTTTATTACAGTCCACCAGATTTAGATCAAATCCAACATGGCACGGTCTACTGAAGGCACGTGGTTAAAAGAATGTAGATCAGGCACAGAACTAGTGGCCCTAGACATTATTATCAATTATTATCATTAAAGCTGCACTTACTCACTTTGTGAAATTTTCGAACGTGAGCGCTGGCCTCGCTCCTCTGCTCACCCTCCCCACACTCACTGAGCTATCGCCCCCCCACTACCCCCTCCCACTCAGCTTGTACTGTTTACGGAGCTAGCGTCTCACAATATGGATCACACATTTGAACGTGGATGGCGTGACCATAAAATGATAGAACCGGGAAGCGCGGAGGAACAAGACTTTCTTTTGGATGGATGTTTCGCTGTGTGAGCAGTAACCAGTAACGAAGACACGGAAAGCTTTAGGTTAGCCTCCGCCGCTTGTTTACCTCAGCTGTCTGTGCTAACAGGGACCTGTAGCTTTTCTCAAGAAAGCGGGAGCCAGTGGTCCGCTGTGATTGTTCACAATCTGAACCCAAAACAAATTATCTTCCTTGTTGCACAAAACCTCGATCTAAAATATAATGTCACGCCAGCACAAATCTGTGCTACTTTTTCTTCAAAAGGACGTATATTCCAATGCACTGCATGGATATGGATTGAATTTTTGTAATGAATACAAAAATAAAGTCAGGTAATGCAGCTTTAACTTGCAGCATTAATGGTAATGGGATACTATGGAATTTTATACCTCATTTTAAAGTTCATTTTCCAAGAAGAATAACCCAGCATTTACTGTATTCTTAACAAATCAATTGAAGATAAACGGTCAAGTATAAAAAATATATCATTGGCCTCGCAGTCTATATCTTTTCTTTTTATTGGTGCAATCCAAACAGAAAACTCATTGTAATAAGAAACAAGAAAAGAATATCAAAGCTCATGTATTAAGAACATGACCTTCATAATGTTGAAAAATAATATCATTATAATAAAAGAAAACCACTTTTATACTTTTGGGCTCCGACAAAATTGAGTTTGACACCAACGGACATTAACAAAGCTAAGTTAGAGGCAATACTTCTGAATAAAACACTACTTACTTGCAAAAGGAATGGTTAGTATGAGCTACGATGGCATGTTATACCTAATTTTACAGATAATTTTCTAATTTTTTTCCCGACACATGATTTTATGTTGTTATTTGAATAAGATAAATCATTGGCCAAACCTTTGACTTCGACCAAACACACAGTAACTGAACTAGTTTTGTTCCAAGTTTAAACGAACATAAATCTTTGTCGAAATACCTTCAAAGCCTGAAACATGCATAGAATAATATCCACAGATGCAAAGATGAGCTTCAAACACTTTTATAATTGTGGCCCTGACCCTGATTGAGACCAAAAGATCATTGGGATGTGTTTTTGATTTGTGCCACGATTTCCTCATAATACCAATGGATGGTGATAAAAACAAGTCACTTCACGGTTTGCTTTGATTGTAACATAGGTTAGAAAAAGACTAAAGAAGTTTTACAGTAGTTCAGATCAATAACTGATGCAGACTGTACTCACTCGTGGTGTTTCCAGACATTTGGATGATGCATTTGCTCTCTTTGCCGATCTCCCTGGAGTTGAAAGGGCGAACCCGGACCGCCACCTTCACTGAGGCGGCTGCCATGGTGCTGCTTCTGGGGGGCAGCTACGGGAGACGTCAACAAAGCCCAAAACAAGGGGCTAAGACCTGCAAGAACAAGGGAAGGGAGAGAGAGGAAGAAGATTAAGCCTTTGTCAAAGCAGTATTACATAATGTCACTGTGTGGGAAGAATCGGTAATCTGGACAACAAGGAAAACCAGCTACAGACATGTGGAAGTCAACAATAGGGCCAAGAGATTAACTGGAGTAGAATAGAAACAGCAACAGCAATTTTGTAAGGCTATTACACACAGCAAGAAATTACTAAAATAGTTTTATATGTTTGAGGCCATAATACAGTATATACGGACTCCCTTGAAAAAAAGAGGTTCTTAATCTCAATGGGGCTATCCTGTTTAAATAAAGGTTAAATATATAAATAAAATATAGGTCTTGCTAGTGGTGAGTTTCAGACCAAGGTAATTTGTAAAATGATTTGAAATGTGTTGCTTTCAATGCAATTCAATTCAATTTCTTATTGTGCACCTCTAAATCCCAACAGTAGTTATCTTGGAGGACCGTTTAATTCACCAACACAGATCAAAACAGTTCAAACACAAGAAATAAAACAGAAAACAGATTGGTATTGGTCCATAAAGGGCAGAAAACCAATGTCCATTAATGTTGATAAAGATAAGAAAAGTTAAGAAACATAACTTATTTTGTAATTTGTATATTTTGTGTGCTCCCTGTGTGCTCTTACTACTGTCCTGTATGTGCGCTGCAACATGGAAATTTCCCCACTGTGGGACGAATAAAGGTCTCTCTTTCTGGTTTCCCTGTCTGGTCTCTTTCTGGTCTCTCTACTTTCTCTCTCTCTCCCCTCTCTAAATCGCAATAACAATATTGGTTGCCAAAACAGATCAGAGAATCAAACAATTGAAAAATAGGAAATGCTTTTTAAATGTCTATAAATGTTAATACATGTTGTTGATTGTCCTTAATCCTGTAGAACCCAGACGTAAAAAATATCTCTCAAACTCTCTGTCTCTCTCTCAAACTCATATTACAATACCGCTCCTCCTTTATCCCAGGAATGTTTAATTAGGGCGACAGTAGCTCAGTTGGTAGAGCATTGGCCTTTGAGCCTGAAGGTCGTGGGTTCAAGCCCACCATAAGACCTACTTCACGACTCCCACTGATGACTGCTGTCGTTGTGTCCTTGGGCAAGACACTTAACCCCACTTTGTCTGAAGCTCCCACTGAAAGATCTCAGCTCCTGTGGACTCACCACCTGCAGGAGGATCAGTGAGGGGCTGGTGCTCTGTGACCGGGTGCAGCTCTGACTGCCACCCCCCCGACCCAGAAATGGATTAAGGGGAAGAAAATGGATGGATGGATAGATGTTTAATTACCCCTGCCGGGACATTTTCATTAAAGATGCATTTGCTCAAAGAAATGAGGTGGTTTTAGATTATTACCGTTTCCGGCCGGCGCGGTCAGCACAACGCTCAAAGGGGCAGTGTGTGCGCATGGTCAGCTCCAGACACTCATAACGAACCCACAGCTACAACAATAGAAATGCACGGGCAGCTGAATGCCTCGCCATTTCCCCGGATTACAATAAACCAGTTACGATCCAGAGTTGAGCTCCCATCAGCACAGGGATACATGATTTTGGAGAGAAAAATATACAGCCAGGTTCATGTATATTAAGACAACACAATGGTTTTAAAATGTAGCAAACAAGATGTGATTAACTCAGATTTTATTTGTGTTGGAAAACTGGTATTTAATGGTTTTTATTCAATTCGTATTGTTTTAACTTCATACATCATCATTTTTTTACTGATTCTATTGTTGATACATACTGTATACTGCTGGCAAACCTAAGACAAGATAAGATGAACTATATTGATCACACAATGAAGACATTTGCCATTTTACCTGTATTATTTAGATTTTTTCTATCTCTGTGCAGCACTTTGGAAACTTGGATTGGATTATTTGGGCGGATTTACGTCCAAATCAATGGGGAATTAGAAGTTTGTACAAGTGCCTTTTTGAGAGTCCAAAAGTATTGAGATAATTGGCTGTTCATCTGTTCCATGGCCATTAACGCTCAATTATTAAGGTTAAGATTAAGATTAAGAGATCCTTTATTCGTCCCACAGTGGGGAAGTTACAGTGTTGATAAATGAACCATAACTCTTTACTAAAATAAAATAAATTCTATGACTTTAGCATAATAAGGGAGAAAATCTAAAATCTCTATTTCTAGCGTAATGAAAAAGCAATTTGAGATGGCAAGGACTCATATTTCCTTTAACTTTTCAGAAGAAAGGATTTTATAATCTCCACTGAGAGCAGCAGTCGGTTTTCTGGAGCGCTCGAATTACAATCAACTTGATAATCGATCAAGTGGAAAATTATGCCTACAATTACGGGACAATTAGATCTGGAGAGTTAATATTGGTCAAAATAATGTAAAAAGAAAATAATGTGATTTGATTAGAAAGATTCTCCGTTTATAAGAATTACTTTACTTTCATACTAAAAGTTGTATCAGTTTCAGCTGGTGGTGCCATGTGAGTGTTTTCAACCAAAAAGGTGTGCCACAGCTACAAAAAGGTTGGGAAACACTGCTATAGACAAACACACACACACATACACACACACACACACACACACATACACACAAACACACACATACACACAAACAGTTACTATACCCCACTGTTAGCTGGGTAATTACACCATCACTGCATTGAGGACTTTTTTTTGTTTTATTTATTTGTTTATTTGACAGGGACAGTACAAGAAAACATTGCCAGCTCAGTGGCCGATGTTATGTACATACATGTAAGGCGTCTAGGCTAGCCATAGGCTAATTTGCAGCCCCCGTCCCTGGTTAGGCTTTTCAAAGGGGTTTAAAACAGAACAGAAAGATGAAAAATCAGTAAAAGGCATCAAACAATACTACAATAAAAAGAAAGAGGAGAAGACACCTTCCATTCGGACACCAGCCTAAGACAACAGTATTTGTACTACAGTATTTCGACGAGTCAGCAAATCAAAACTGTGAAAAAATATACTGTTTGTTTTGGTTGTGGATTAAACATAAAACCAAGGGCGTAGGTTTGCGTGGGGACCATGGGGACATGTCCCCACCAATATTTGGTGAGGACTAAAAAGTCCCCACCAAAATGACATGATGTCCCGTGACCCGGACGGTCCGGGACACATGTCTTCCGTTTGTGCATACGTCGCGCCTCCTCCTCGCCTCCAGAGCAACAGCAGCAGCAGCAGCACGTGACCCGTTCCGTTCTCTGCAGTGATTGGCTGTCTTCTTCAGCGCCAAACTGAAGCACTGAGCAACTGTTTAATTTTTAAAAGTTAGCCAGCGTGAAGCAAGTGGTTTTTTTCGTTCCCTGAGCGTTGTAGCACGTGAGTAATCAAAGGAAAGTACTGTAGATCTATTACCATTCAAAGTACTTACGTTATTTCTAATCTGTCAGCGCACTGTTTAATGTTCCGAGGAGCTCACACGGCACAGAGACAGAACAGAACTGGCTCCAATAAAGAAACAGGTTGGTTGAAAGGCTGAAAAAATACTTATTGTGCTCTTACTATCCAAAATGTATAAGTGGGTGTGTTGTGTGAATCAGGATAAACTAGGGATGAAAATATTCCACGGATCCACGATTTACAACCTTTATCTGCTGATTATGTAATTTGTGTGAAATGTGTGACAGCGGGCACTTGCTGTTATTTGCTCTAAGCACATTCAAGAGATGCACTCGAATGTGCACGTCCTGGTGCAGCTGCTGCCGCTTTGTAATGACAGCCGCGGCGCTCAGTGAAAGCACAGCTCTAACATGGTACCGAGCTCGGACCATATGCAGACAGAACCATGTTGCAAGTGCGGGTCTCCCTCGTATCTCCCCGGTTTCTCCCCTGTGTCTCTGACATGTCTCTCCCCTGACTCTTCCCAAAGCGCAACCAGCGCTTCCGAAATTAAAGCTCGGATACCTAAATTTTGCATCGCGTTAGCGATGCATGCTGGTTGTGCGCAAAACACACCACAACAGGTCATTTAAGTTTTTATTTTGCATACTTGAGAGCCCTGTGAGTCATTAGTTGCCTTTTTGGGTTGAGAGTGGAATAAAAAAAAAGAAAATATAGAAAAATCCACACTGTTACTTATTGCCAAACTCTTGTTAACTCATTGTATTGAGAAATACTATGTAACTTTTGACATTGGCCAAGTTATATAAATGATTCTGCAGTTCATGTATATGAATGTCTGTTTTTGATTGTCTATACCTTCTTATATAATTTAGAAAAAATGCCACCTCCACAAAAAAAGATAAAAGATATCAGGAGCTTTTTTAACAGTTGGAAAGTAAGTAAGAGAAAGCACAAGTAATAGCAAATTATGAATTGTGATAGAAGGCAACACACTATTGCAAATATAGTGTGTGATTACACAACAAATTCTGGGGGAGAAACTCTGGACCCCGTGTCAATGGGTGTAGACTCAAGTCGTAGTGAATGTCCCCACCAAGATTGGAACCAAACCTACACCATTGCATAAAACTATCAACAAAAGTGCATAAATCTGAAGTGTAAGTATGTTTTATAGCAGAATAACAGTAACTGGTACAATTTTCATATTCAAATCAAGATCAAAATGTCCCGTTTTTTTATTTATTATTAATAAGTACTTCCTCTGACGTCTGCCCAGGATGTACAGAGATTGTCTGTTTGTCTGAATTGGGAACAACTCATTCAATTTGGAGGTAATCTGAATCAGCGCAGGACTTGTCTAATTGATATATTGACGACCCTTGCAGCATGATTCGCTTTTAAAGTGCACTTGATGTTAAGATTTTGCATAAATCTTTCTCATGTATCTCGCCAACCTGCACCAGTGACCTTCAGTAGCCAAAAGGTGTTTCCAGACTGAAGCGAGTTTTTTTTGTGTGTGTGTGAGTGTTACTGGGGTTCTTGTCTGGAAAATAAAAGTACTGCCATGATGCAA